AGAATATTACCAATGCCCATGAAAAGAAATAACAGGGGCATGTACCTGTTGGTAAATGGAGGTCTGCCGTTCAGCCCAAGAACGGCGTATCCACACCAATGTCCACGTGGAACAGCCCGTTGAAATTCCGTCGACTTACGAGTTACGATGATTAGTGCCTGCGGGCTGTTTGAAGACTGGCCTAGCCTAGACGGGCGAGAGGGCGATGCTCTTAGTCTATCTAATCCACCCCGCGAAACACCGCCACACCCTTGTCAGAGTGGGAGGGGCGTTGACGGGTCGAACAGAGGGAATGACCAACCACCACATAACTCTGGGCCCAACGCTGTTGGGCGTCTCGCTCCGACACGAACACGGCGTTGTTGAAGCCCAACTTCTCCCCGCCGGCCATTCGCTGTTCACACAGTTACATTTGGTGATATTATGTTGTGTCCGTGGCACTCTGATCCTGAGGCCTAATCCACATGATCGAAGAACAAATAATTTTCTCTTGACAAATAAACGTTAACGTACTTGAATGAAGTTGAGCGTGAACTCAAACTTCTGCGCAGACGTCATTTCGGGTCGAAGCAGCTGTTTGAGCATGGAACATACCACGATGGCGCCAGAGTTGACCATGGGGTTGTGGGGCCGATCTAAAAACCGGAGAACACTTGGTAAGTACTTGATATTTATTGGACTAAATGTACATACGTAGTATGTAAGTATTTCTCACTGTTGTGGTCCAGGACGAGCTCGTTGAAGTTCCTTCCGCTTGGCTCCTGCCCCACGAAGCGGTGCACCACGTCGGCTCCGAGGTGTTCCAGGCAGAGGGCGTACGTCAACGGCTTACTGCGGGACCCTAACGGGAACACGCGTGTGCGCGCACGGGTCAAGGTCACGACACTGACAGTCGAACGTGCCCCGTGGGGTGGCTCAGGACCAGTTGCTTTTTATTAGTGTATGGATGTGGTGCGCCGCCCACTGCAGAACAGTACAGTACGTCGCGGTGCGCCGCCTTTACCCAGCTGCAAGTGTAATCGCATTCCCGGCGTATCTCCGCTGACTGTGAGCCGGGATCAGAACACTGCATAGAGTTTGGCCTTCCCTCCCGGCCCACCAGTGAACAGAGTGGCGTTCCCACGTCCCCGGGCGAGCCGCACCGCACCACCGGGTGTTTGACGCGCTGGTGCGGGCGGGTTTGCCTACCCACCCCCCACTCTGCCCGACCCCCTGTGGATATAGGCTCTGAACCCGCCCGCACCGGCGCGTGGAACACCCGGTGCTAGCCCCCCCCCCCCTTCCCCCCCGCCGGGCGGGGTCTGCTCTCCACAGTGAAAGCACATTTTGCCCCACAGCACCACGCACTCCCGTCTAGATTGACAGGATACGCGGCTCTGGTCCGGCACGGCCCGCCTGCTGGAGAGGGAGAGAGGGGCCTCGAGTGGGGCGCTGCAGATTTTCCCTCTCTCTCTCTCACTCTCCCTTACTCACTCTCTCTCTCTCTCTCACACACACACTCAAGACGTATGCTGGCTTTCGTCAGTGCGTTGCATCCTTCTCATGCGCTGAGAAAAGCGTTGGTTTTACAAGGGGGCATCCCCCACCCCCTCTCTTCCCGGTCCTGTGTTACCCTGAAAGCCCGCCTGAAGGGTAGACGATCCAAGTTACACAACCCGTGTTGGAAGTGTATCCAATACCCCTCGTCAACCTGCATGTCCGCTGCGACGAGCGCAACCAGTGTAGGACTCTCTCGAGTCACCTGGAAGTAGAGGTCCATGATGGAGCGGAG